TCCAGCCGTGGCCGATCCCTCACGCCAGCCAGCCCAGCGTGGCCCCTTGCGCGTCCTAAAGACCGCGAGGCGTTCGGTGACGGGAACCTCATCGCTGCACGCAACGCTTTCCGCCACCCGCAAATCCCTCGTGTCCCAAAGACGCCACGCCTCACCTGCGCGCTGAAGCAAGCACGTTTCGTAAGGCGCCTTCTCGACCGCCAGGGTCCCAAGGTCCTTCTGCGCAGGGCGCCTACCCCACACAGACGCGTAACCACCCGGCGCCTCCCACCAGCTGTCGGCGCTTGGAAGGTGGTTCAAGCAAGTAAGCACTCCAGGCTCCTCAACAGGGCGCCCAACCGGGCCGCTCCCGCCCCACACCGAAGCGAGAACAGTCACCGCAGCAAGGACCGACAGCACACCGATCCTGGCGCCGGTACGCAGCCGCCCAAAGGACCGCGCACACGAGGAACAACCTTGGAAGCTTCTTGCCGCGGCCCTGGACGCGGACCCGCAAGCAAAGCACGGGTCGTGGTCAACCGAGGCAACGGCGACCCCACAATCCGCACATGCCTGCGGAGACGGCTCCGACTCGAACACCGTCTCAACCGCGCCACAACCACAGGCCGCAGTGCTAACGAGGCCGGAACGCACTTCCGCAACAACCTCGCCCGGCTGGAGAGAGTGATCACACTCTTGGGCTGCAAGCAACACAAACCCTTTACCCTCTCCTGTGGGCCAAAGGCCTGGCACAGCCTCAACCCCGCACTCAACCGGAAGCACTACCTCGGACAGGGATCCCTCTGCGGAGACTCCTGACTCCCGCACGACTGGCACCAGCACCCCGTCGCCTGGCGAGAGCTCGAGCGGCTCTTCCCCGTCGTAGCGGAGGAGCTCCCGACTTCCGCCCCCAGGCTCGGTGCATGACGCGTCGTCCAGGCTCGACAACCGCGCTTCAAAGGCGTAGGCCCTGTCCTTCCGGGTCTTGCTGTGATCCTCACATCTGGGCATCCTGATTCCCAGCGTGTCGAGGACGTGAAAGTCGGGACCCGGCCTGAAACCCAGGCCCATCCTTCCGGCGCAGTCCAACGCTCTGCCGCCGAGGATCAGTCCGTGCCAATCGGACGTCCCCCTGGCTGCGATTTTGCATCGCACGAAAATTTCAGTGTTGGGGCGACAGTCGTCCGCCGTCCTGCCTTCCAGCAGCGTAACGCGCAAGACTGCTGCCCCCTTCAGAGGAACGGGGGCTCCCGAAGCAATGCCATGCACGTATTCGGGGTGGACCCACTTTTCGAGTCTCACGACCGGGAAGCCGGGATCTTCTGTGCCGATCCCCAGCTCTGCTGCCCGGTTCATCATGCCCACCACGAGTTCCTCTGTCACGTGGTTTGCGCCGGCGCATCCGTCGAGCATGCACTCGACCTTACGGTCGAGCACCTGGACTACTGTTCTGTACTGGTAGCCTCCTGGCTCGTTGTCTGCCAGGCTCCACCAGTCCTTCGGCAGATCGTCCAGGGTGGCGAACTTGTCCCGCCCACCCTTGCTCAACGGAAGCGCGTGCTGCTGCACCGCGGCGCGTCCTGCGGCTCCTGAGACGCCCGCCTGGACGCCTGAGCTGCCTATCTGGACACTGAACGCGGCAAAGGGGTTGGACATGGAAGCACCGGAGGGCGGGGCCCAGTTGGCAGGCAAGGCCGGCGTCCCTCCTGAGGTCGTCAGGTTGTGGACCATGTCGCAGCTGGCTCCCTTCTTGCACGACCCATTCTTGGAGAAAAAGGGGCAAACAGTGCCTGGTGGCTTTGCCGCGCCTTTGGCCGCAGCCTTAGGCTTTGCGTTGGCCTTTGCCTTGCCACCTCCCTTCCCCTTGCCCTTGCCTTTCGCCGTGGCAAAGGTTTGGTCACCCTTCTTGGCCGCGAGAGCTTTTCTGCGAAGCTCCTTGTCGTGGCTGTACGGGCAGGCATCCCCTTTCGGGCAATTCCCGTGGTCGCGAAAGTGGAAGCAGATCTTCTTGTCCGCTCCTTTGCCAGCTCCCTTCGACGCAGCGGCAAACGTCTGATCCGCGCCAGCCTTGGCCGCGGCAGCTGCTCCTTTCGCAGCAGCCTTAGCGGCGGCCTTGAGGCTCTTAATCTCCTTCTGAGCCTCGGCTAGCGCGACCGACGGGTCCGCGCTTGGAGAGCCGGTCGTGGAGTACACAGAGTGGGAAACAGCCCGGTGAGCTGCTTCCCTCTGTTCGTACTCCAAGACGACCTTGTGGCTCTCCTCCCAAGTCTGCGGCCCTCTCAGCCCGCCGTCCTTGGGATCGCCGGGCCACAACCGCTTGTCGTTACGTATCTCCTTTTGGAGATACGGGGGCATCTTGCGGAGGTACGAGAGATACAACTCTCGTGGGGTCTTCCCAAGACCCACCGCCTCAAGGTCCGCGATCGATGCCTCAAACAAAGGCTCGAATTGGTGGCCTGTGAGCTTGCCCTTAGCGAGGGAGGCATGCTCACCATCCACGCGGACTTCTCTTTCCTCCCGCGATTCCCCGAACATCAAGTGCTTGTTCTTGATGCGGTCGTACACCGCCTGTGGGTCGGAGAGAACCTCTCCCGACTTCCACGCTGCGCGGTAGGCGTTCGTGTACGTCTTCATGCGCGAGCCGCGGCAGCGCCCGCGTAGCGCTAGCAGCTTTTCGCGCGCACTCATACCGCGACAGTTGTTGGCGAGCGTGCAGACGTCCTCGAACTCCTCGTAGAACAGGACAACGTCTCGCGCGTCCGACTTGTCGTCGGTCAGCGTCGGCCACGTGAGGTCAGTTTTGACCGTCGTTATGGAGCTTTGCCCGCCCCTCTGCGCTAACGCTTCTTTCAGCGCTTCAGTTTGGGCGGCGAGTGCGGCGGCGAAATCGCCCGCCGGGTTTTGGGACCCGGTCTGCGAACCTCCGCCGTCTGAACCTCGCTTCAGGGCTTCTATCTCCATCTCCAGCGCCGCAAGCTTCGCACGCAAAGGGGAATCGCCGTCCGTCGCGCCCAGGTCACGGGCCGCGGAAGGACCACCTGCAACCTCGGCAGTGTGCAAACCTCCACGGTCCAAACCTACCCCCAACCCACTTGCAGTCGCAGGCTGTGGGAGCCCTGGGGAACGCGGCCCCACGGCTTCAACTGGCACATCGGACGGGGAGCTCCAAACCTTCTCTTGGCTCGAGCTTTCTTTTCCCCCTAGCGCGAGGATAAGCTCCCCGATGCATTGGATTTCACGCTGAATCTCCTCTGCGTCTTCGGGGTCCTCGCCACCGCGCAAAGCCGCGACCGAGAATCTGGTCCGTAGCCGACGGACCATCTTTGTCGGATGCCAGTCTCCGCCTATCTTGGAGAACTCATCCGCGAGGAGGGTGGCTTTGGTGCTTAAGGCGTCAAGGTCACGGGAGCTCACCGTGACTCCATGCGCTTTCAGCGCGAGGACAATCCGCGAAACGCGCGTCAAGTAGTCCGCGACCGGTTCTTGGTCTGGACGGAAATTCGCGCGCAGCTCCGCCTGCAAGCCCTCTGCGGTGCCTGGCACCGAACCTGCTGTCGACGGCGGACCGGACGGTCCCGCCGGGCGGGACCCTGGTGCCGTAGCAGGGACGTAGGCAGCACCGGTAGGGACCATGGCCAGCTCCCTAGCCGCGGCGCTGACGTCCACCCGCGGCGGACTGTCGCCTCCAGCGCCCGAGGCCTCAGGGACTAGCTCGGAGTCCTCTTCTTCTTCCTCCTCATCCTCGTCCTCGTCTTCGGCGTCATGGAGGAACTTCATGACCTTCCGCCAGAGAGCCGCCTCTTGCTCTGGCGTAGTACTGATCCCATCCCGCTTGGACAACGGACGGCTGCCAGTCTCCCTACGCCACTTAAGCCAAGCGACGTAGCTCATCCGCTCGGGATAGGGAACGTCTCCACCCTCGATCGCTTCGAGGAGGGTGACGCCCTCGGCCTGACCTGCAACCTCTGCGGACATCGCCGCGCCTTGGTTAGCAGGCCGCAGGCGTGGCACACGAAGCGCCGCGCCTTGGTTAACAGGCCGCAAGCGTGGCACACAGTCCACGCGTCCAGGTCACGGACCGCGACAGACAAGCAAAGCAATGCTTGCCCACTCGGGCCGTAGGCACAAGAGCTGTACGCTTCCCAGAACAGCCCCCAATTGTGAAGTCGACCAGCACTGGACTTGCACTAAGCCAATGCAATCACAGCCCGGTCACGCTGTTTTACGACTTCGCGAGTTCAAGCACTTGTGCAGCTACGCCTGAGTGCGTCCGGTCGGACCGCACAGCAACCTAAGAGCTACTGTACGAAACTACCGTGCTCAAAGGCACAAGCTCGGTACTTGAGCCAAAATATTGGCATCGTTACGAATTGCAAAACTACACATGCAAGGGAAAACTACAAGCTGCACTAGCACCAAGCAAGCACTCCATGCATGCTTTGACCTGCTCACAATATACATATACATATACATATACATATACATATACATATACATATACATATATACATACATACATACATACATACATACATACATACATACATACATACATACATACATACATATGTTAGCTTCGCATAGCATCACATGGCCATGGCCGTGACCATGTTGTTCATGTTGCGGCTGTTTTTGGGAGCGGCTCTGACAAGGAGGGGCTCTCCCCTTCTGATCTCCCTAGGCGCGAGGTTGTGTTAATTTGTGTAGTTGCCCAAAATGGGCCCAGGGTTCCCTGACACCGTCTTGAAGTCCAGCTGGGCACAGCGAATCAATCCCCCTTCCGCCCTGAAGAAGTCGGCGCCCATAGTGCGCATAAGGGTTCTTAGGATCTTGGGGCCTTTTGAAGGAAGGAGCGTCACAGGGGGGTTCGCTCACATGGGGTCACAACAACACGCCTTCCGGCGACATCTACAGCTTCAAACGGCCCCAAACCCTTAAGCCCCAATTCAGCCGCCCCGTACTGCTGGAAAGTGCCCGGAAGATGGAAACACAGGCCCATCCCCCACGCGCCGTCATGGCAGGCGTTTCACCGTGACATATCGGCCCACAATTTCCTCATTGCTGCTCGTCTGACCCCAAAACCCTGAACCCTATATCCCGACCTGAAATTTCTGACGAATTTCGGCCTCTTGCTTCGTCACTTTGTAGCTGAGCCTCAAATTTTTGGGGCTTCGCGCAGAAGTCAGGGTTGACGCCCGAAGGGCAACGGACCTTTCCTCTGGAGTTGACGGCCCGGGGGTCTCCAAAAGTTGTTCTGGAACTTCCATGGGAGGATTCGCCTAAGAAACCCGGACCAACTGTATTTTGATAGGCACCTGACAAACCTATCAGCCCTGTAAACGTCCATCAAGACCCTTAACAGCAATGGAGCCCCGAAGCCCCCGAACCCTAAAACCATGACCCTGCTCTAAATCGTAGAGGCCCGAAACGCTAAGGCTTAAACCCTAAATAAACCCATGCCTGGTCTATGGAGCCCCCTCTTCCCTTGGCCCAAATTCTATCCTTATAGGGTTTAGGGTTTAGGGCAACTGCCGTTATGAAAAGGACCCATGTAATCCGGACTGCTTGGGTTATCCCCAGCCTAATTCAGGGGCCTCAACCCCTATGGTAAACCCTAAGCCCTCATAAGCCCTGATCCCTAAACCCTAACCCAGAAACCCCAAATCGCAGCCCTTTGAGCCAAGGATGATGTGCAAGACAACACAGCCAAGGCCAGGAGCTCTTGAAGTTTTGGGTTCGGGTTTTGGGGGATTTCTTGGTTCTCGGGACTCACAGAATCTTAGGGATTCGGGGCTCTTGAGAATGTTTTTTTTGCTGGCGGCTGTGGGTGGCTTAGAGATTCGGGTTCGGGTTGTTGGGCTCCTGGGGCTTTAGGTCTCAGGGGTTTGGGTTGTTGGGGCCTCAGGGTTCGGGCTCCATAGAGGCTTCGGGTGTAGAGTTTACGGTGCGCATCAGCATGGCAGCCAAGTAGGTTCATCACGAGCCATGGTTGTTGTTGCGGTCTCTTTGGGCGACACATGGGCTAACTGCTGAAGCCTTTTACACAATCAGAATAAATATGCGTAATCAGAGTACTATATTATAGCAGAAGAGTCTAGGATAGTATCATAGAGCAACAGTAAGATATATAATACAATCTTCGGACCTGCATGCCATGGGCTAAGTCCCTTGAAGGAGGGGGAGGTGTCGGGTTGCCTTCTTCGCAGCCTGGTCTCACTCCTTGGAGCGATTGAAGTTCAAGGGGCTTTTGCACCTTGCCGCGCCCACCGGCGTAGAGTGTCATTTCAGACGTGCATGGGTTCTGGGGCACGTAAGTCCCAGCTTACAGCCCAAGTAGAGATCCGGCAGGGTCACAGCCAGCTGGAACCCCAAAGCCCCAAAGCCTAAATCCCTCAAGCCTCCACATGCAACCGAACCAGGGATAGAATGAATTTCCCTCTAGCTGACACAACCCTAAACCCCTAAATCCTAAACACTAACCCTCGCCCTAAGCCAAAACAACCCGAGGCTCAGAACCCTGCCCCTAACACCTAACCCCCCCTAACAAAAAAACCGAAACCCCAAACCTCAACCCTAAACCCAGAGACTCCCAAAATCAACCTCAATCCTAAACCCCAAGAGACGCCCAAAAAATCGGCCAGTTCGCGGTGCTTGACTTCGGACTGGCAGTTCGCGCCGACAAGTGGCGCAGGGAGTGGGGCGCTGGGGCCCCGGAGGTTTGAGGGGGGCAGGCTTAAGGGGGCTCTGGGGGGATTAAGGGGTTTAGGAATTGGTGGTTGAAGCTTAGAGTTTAAAGATGTGCAGGGGCTCGTAGGGTTGCTTGTGTTGTTCTTCGTTTTTTTCGGGCTTGGTCGGCTTGGAAAAGGTTTTGGTTGGTGTTGTAGGGGGGGCGGGCTCAGCGCCGGCAGCTCAGGCTTCACGCTCACAATTGCAGGAACCGAAGCATCTATCAATGCTAAGATGCTTTTGACAAGATCCGTTTTGGTGCAGACAGCCGCTTAGGCACGGAACATTGCCGGCGACCCACGGTACTTTGCTCCGTCAGCTTGGATGCAGCTGACGTGCGGCCACAAGTGGCGGCCCGAGAGTGCCTTTCGAGGGCCTTCAGGTTGTGTTTTTTGGAGGGTTCGGCATCCTCAAGCCCTAAACCCTAGCCGCCCTAGCCCGTATAACTTATCACCATCTTGGGGGCTCAAGTTCACTTAAAGAACCCTCTTGAGCCCAAAGCTCCCGAGAGCCAAGGGCTGGATCTTTGGGGTTTTTGTTCCATCTCAAAGCTTCGGGAGTCTGCAGAGAGCCTGCGCCTTGCTGAGCTACCGCACGCGTGGGGAAGAGGGGAGGGTGGGTTGATCTAAATTCGATTGTGGGTCTTGATTCGAGTACATGCCTTAGAGTTCAGGGCACGGAAAAGGGTTCCTTGGTTCGGAACAACGCTGCTTCCAACCCCCGCGCACATGTTCAGCCCCCTCTCTCGACATCATATCGCAGGGGCCTCCGAAGCTCCAAACCGCCTTGCGCAACCCCCGGACCCCAAGCAAAGATCCCAGTTTAAACCCTTCGCCCTAAAGCCGTCACTGGACCCTAATCCCGAAATCCCAAGCCCTTCAACCCTGAATCCTACGCCCTAGGTATGTGGCGTGTCATCCGAGTAGTTGCTGGGTGAGTACGGAGCCTGGCTATGGAAGCATGTTGACAGGGCTTCAGGCGGCTTAGGGCTTAAGACCTAAGATCTTTTTTGGAGTTGGCAGGTTTTCTGAAGCCCGCTGTTTGACGGGTTTAAAAGGCCGTACTAGTTGAGGGCCTTTGGGGCCTATGATTAGGCGGCTTAGGGGTTTGAAAGGGTTCAACAGGGTTTTTTGTGGCACTGCAGATGTGCAACGGCTTTAGATGTCTTACCTGTCCTAACGCTGCAACACTACTTCATGTATCCAGCTCCAAGTACGGCAAGCATCCTGGAGTCTCAGTGCAGACTCTGGGTTTCATCACCGAGTCCAGCCGCAGAACATCAGTTGTATTGGTGGGGATCGCAATGGGATTGGGGACCCTTACCGACGGTGTTCATCGAAGTACGTAGGCAATCCTCCACTAGCAGCGGTCAAAAGTACCATCACATGCAAGCTAGCAGCACGCGCCCTGCGGTGCCTCAACCTTGCAAGCATTCGAGCCACCGGGTTAGTTGGGTCCCAATCCGCTGCCTAGAACAATATGCCCATCGACTCGATCACTACTCGTTTGGCATGCTGATGCTGGAGGCGGGTCGGGCACACTCTCTTATCCGATCCGTCAAACATGTGTCATGTGTACACTCCCTCTCCAGTCGCTGAGAGATGAACCAGGTCTGCACGAGACTTTGAGCACGCAGACACGGGCAAATAGTGCTCCACCCCCCGACCCCCCCCCCTGTACTACGTAACTCCTGGGCACCCTTTGGGCCTTCAGCTGATCTAACCTCTCAAGACTCAGCGAGTCCCTGACCAGATGCTCTTCGCACTGTGGAAGGGCCCGGAGGTCGGCAGGGTTCGAATCAAGCTCACAGGGTCTAGTTTTTTTAAGCTTTTAAGTAGGCCTTGGCATGTTTTATGCTTGCGCATTCGGAGCTTTCAAGGGCCAGCCTAGTGTTGAGATCGGCAACGCGGTGGTGTGAGTTGGATAGCTTGAGGCTTGCAGGCACTGGGTGGCTGTTCGAACTTAGGCCCTCTTTGTGTGGGGTCTGCGTTACCTAGTTCAGAGCGATTCCACCTGGAAACCCTCTTTTGGCAGATTCCGCCCTTGGAGCTTCCAGCAACCGCATGCTTGTCTCAACGGTTGGCTGGACATGAACCCTTCTTCCCCTATTTTTGCTCCTTGCACCAAGACCAACGAAGGTACAACGCCCCATGTTTTCCAGCCCTAATTAGGGTCAGTACAGTAAATGTCTTGTTCCTGTAGGCTGATGAGGAGGACTGGGCCAGCAGCGATGAGCTGTCAGATCAAGTGGTTGCCTGGAGGCAGGGGTCGGGTTTCGCGGTTGGCGGAGTACGTGCCCGTTTGGAATAGCATGCTTTTTTGGATCGCGGCGATTTCCGGAGTATGGTTGCGGAGGATTGAAATTGCAAGGTTTGCCTTGTCTGGGCTTGCGCAGTTCCCAGGGTAGTGGGCGATGTTCTACCAGCAAACATGCTAGGTGGAAGGCAAGAAGCTTCGCACAGAGCATGCTTTCGGTGGCACCACCGACCACCAACGTGCCCCTAGATTCCAGAACATTCTTTGCAGAAGGCAGGAAGTTGTATCACTAGCCCAAACCCTCAACTTTCAACCGGCATCACGTTGCGTATTGCAGCTTTCCTTGGTCCCCTTGCCTTCCTAAACCTTGCACCCTACATCCAAACCCCTAAAACTCTAAACCACGTCAACCCCAAGACCCTAAAATCAGAGAACCCCAACACCTCGAAGCAGTTCACCCCCTAAACCCCTCAAACCCCAAACAAACAGAAAACCCTGAGCTGCCCAAACGCAAAGCCCCCTCCTGCCATACACTCACCAGGTCCTCCTTTCTGGCAACCCGCTCGGCCCGTGAACCCAGACCCGGGCATCGCAAAGTTGTGATGGTTTAGGGTTTAGGGTTTAGGGTTTAGGGTTTGGGGTTTAGGGTTTAGGGTTTAGGGATTAGGGATTAGGGTTGAGATGGTGTAGGGCTCAGGGTTGCCCGAAACCCCCTCATAGGGGTTCATGAGCAAGGCTTGGGGTGCCGGGGATGCCATTTCCGTCGATGTGTCTTAGGACCCCCCTTGCAGCTTGTGGCACTTGGACTTCCCGAAACCAGAAGAAATCCACAGTTCTCATCTCGCCCAACCCCGGACCCTGAATCCGAAGCCCTAAGCCAGTAGTCGCACCCTTGTTTTCTCTTATTTGTGGCTCGGCTCCCTTTTTCAACCCCAATAAGCCAACAAAAAAGTGCAGCCTGATTTAATTCTTCGGCTCGGGAACCTCGAAACCCTCGCGTTGAGGCTTGGCGCTCATACTGGAAGACCTGTGTCCGGCTTTTCCAGACCTTCCACACTGGAGGAGCCTCGGATGGCCAAAATGCGGGGAGGGTGGTTTAGGGTTTTGTGGTTCAGGGTGCAGGGCTTAATTATGGTCTAGGGTAGGGCTTGTGCTGGTTTAGGGTTTGGGAGGTTGTTCTAAACCGAACGGCAGTTGACCTAAATTCATGGGCACTGTGCTTGGTACCCTGAAGACGCAATCACCCGACGACTTGGAAGCCTTTCGGCCCTAAACGTGAACTCTGGACTCCAAAGTTCATCCCGACAGTTTACAAGCTCACGTCCTAGAAGCACCAGGACCCTCACATCAACCCCCCCCCAACCGGATCCCTGTCTGAAATGCGCACAAAGGAGCGCACGCTCTCCGTGATGAGTTTCTGGTGTGGGCCTCGGGATTATTCGGCCGTTTGGAACGATGAACTCATAGCCCCAGGAACCAAAATGCCGGTCTTGTTGGTTGGGCATGACAAGGAGTCGAGAGCCCTAGTCCACATCTGCTCCCTACATGAAACCTATCGATGTGCTGACCCTCTAGTATCTCCGGAATCTACGGATTTCTACACGCTGCGCACGCTTGGGGCCTCTTCTATCGTAAGTTCCTGAAGTTCAGGACAACTGGTTGCAAAAAAAGCGCCAGGGAAATTCAGATCTCCATCCTCTTGGAGGCTAAGCCTGATCAGTGACGAGCCAGGCAAAGAACCAGATCACCAAACAGCTGGCAATCGACGACCACTGTGAAAACCTGGTCGCGTGTCTTGCCCGCAGAAAAGATGTAAGTCGTCGCAGCCTCTGAAACATGAGCTTGGGCGGGCAAGCGTTTGGGACAACATGTTGGCCCCCAAGCCCTAAACCTCAAACCTTCACCGAAAAACCTCGGACCGGAAACCCCAAACCCTTATCAGCCTTAAACGCTAAACCTTTTCGTAGACCCTCAAACTACGCATGAATACTGGGCCCATGTACCCTTTGTTTTGGCTCCTCTTGGTCCAGGTATCTGTAGGATCCAGGTAATTCTTCAATAGACCGCTCCGTGGCAATTTTTTTGCCAAACTCCCGCGCCAGGACGGTGAAGGAGATCTCCGCACCTTGCACCGATGTTCCCGAAGGCCTTGCACGAAACCCTATAAGGTCTAAACCCCAAGTCTCAGCAGGCACTTCGGCTTTTCCTGCCGAAGATCCCAGACCTGCCCATACATGCCCTGAATGCCCTGAAACGCCGAATATAGGGGCCGATCATTAGAATAGGGTTTTGGGGGTTACTCTAGTATCATTATAAAGGGACCATAAGGGAACAATAAAACTATTCCGACCCCTATATTAAACTCCTAAGCAGGGTTGTGGTGAATTCGGGAGTCGCTTGGGTTGGTATTAACTTGGTATTGTTATGCCGCACTTTCTTTAGTAGCAATATATGTCTATCATCAGAATCATGAACCATCACTTCAAAAGCTACTCCGGCGACTTGTGCTACTCTTATGACCCGATGGATCTTGTTGTATTAACTCAACACCACAAACAGGTTGGGCTTCAGGGGGTTAGTTTTCCAAATTTTGGAATCTAGGGCCAAGAGGCTGCACCCCTTGGGCTGGGAACGTGGGCTGTGCCCCTACACATTCTTCAGAACCATTCAGAACCAAGGCAGCCCCCAAACTCCAAAGCCCCAAGACCTTCATGTGCATAAACGCACTTCAAGCCAAACGCCTGGGCCCTAGCCCTCAGCCCCTAAGCCCACAAGCCCCTCATTCCCATAGGTACCCATGATAAAACTCGCAGTGACAATCGACGCTAAGCCTGGAAACTGTGAGTTCGGTCGAAGGTGAACTCTACAAGAAGGTGTCTTTCGTGCTCCAGGCTCGGGTGCTTGCTTCTACGGGCTTCAAAGGGTGTCTGCAGCTAAGCCCTACACCAGTCCCACACCCCTAAGCCCTAACCCTAAAGCCTGCATCTCAGACGGCTGCCGACTTGATCTGCCCGACCAGTAAAACCCGCTGGCAGGCAAGACGGGCTGCAAGGTGAAGCTTGATCTCAGCACCCCCCTTCCCCGCTAGTAGCGACCTCCCCCCCAGCAGCTTGGAGTAGAATTTGGTTTCGTTGCAACTTTTAACCCCGACATGATCCCAAAGTCTAACCGTTCAACTCCCTAGTTCTAGGAGACTGGACCAGGATACATAGATCATTTGCACTGTGCTTTTGTCACAAAGTTGACTTGGCTCCAGCCCGTGCTGGAAAATGACAGAAGGAGTTGAAGATGCGGCCCGAATTCTCCAAACCACGTGTGTCGGTAGAAGTCCCGCAGCCCACAGTGTTCACAGGAGATCTACTGGCGCCTCCTGCATTTGACCGGGGATGCCTCCAATCTGCATGTGCGGGCCCTTTCGTACCATGGGGGGACGGTGTTGAGGTTACAGGCTCCAACCGCGACAGGCTTTCTGATTGAAGCCTTGAGATGTGTGATCGGCATGCGCTTGCATGTCAATGGCCTGCAGACGTTGGGACCATCTGCTTGTACTTCAGCTCCAGCTGTTGCTGAAGTCGAGTGCTTCCAGCCACCCCACCACCAATCCTCACCCTCGAACCTCTTTAGCAAACAACTGCACAGCCATGCGGCTTCCTGCAGCAGAGTAGCTCATAACGAAGCACGCTTCTACCGACAGAACCGTCGCAAGCAGAAGATCAGCACCGAGCCAGCCGCGCGCTTGTGGGAGCCTGTCGGTAGCTTGAGGCTTTTCTGGAGAGGCTTCGCAAATTCTTTGTGTGATCGGGATTCAGAAGTGTACGGGCACCCATCGGGTGCCACTGCACGGGGTGCGCAGTTTCCAGTGGGCCCGTTTTGCAGGAATTAACGGGGTGGAGAGCAGAAGAGGTACGTCAACTCTAGACCCTAGACCGAGGGCTCGGATGTCGAAACTGCCTGACTCTTTCGACTTTGCATATGCTTGGCCCAGACCTCCTCCTTCGTGGCTGTGGCTCAGATCGCTGCCGAGGCACTTGTTTAAGTTTGCCGGTTGAATGCAGGGTTCAGATTACGGAGGTTGACTCGCGAAGAGTGAAGAGGGGCGCGCTTGCTTGGGGAGGCATGCTTCTTTGCTCGATGGAGGGATTCCATCCTCTGGCCTCGGCGTATGAGCAGATTCCAAGATGCTGGCTGTCTGTCAGGTTGAGGACAGCGATGGTGAGGAGGTGCAAGTCTCTGTGGCACAGGTTGGTGAATGTCAGTCGAAGCTGTGAGACAAGCATCATCAAGCATCTGCATGCATGAGTCAAGCATCTGCATGCATCATGGCATCATGGACATCCACTCTCGCAGCACCCATTCGTCTCCCAAGGCTCAGCCAGCGGTGCAGGCCGCAAGGGATTCACGGCTGGAAGAAAAGTATCCCAAGATTGTGGCGCAGTGGCGCTTAGGTGCCAAAGCCTGCCTGAGGTTGTAAGCAGCAAGCCAGCTTCAGAATCCAGTGGTTCCGCTCCAGAAACTTTTCCCGTGCTGCTTGAAACTTGGAAACGCGTGTATTGCATGTAATACACCATCTCACCACCCTCCCCCATGGCAAACCTGCCACCTACCCAAAGCCTGCGTCCTTCAACTCCGCATACCGAAGTCCTTCAAACCAAAACCCTACGCTACAAGGGTTGGAGGCTACTGGTAGAGGCATAGCCAACCATGTAGCCGCCCCACGGTATGACATGAAGCAACGCCTGTCAAAGTTTGGCACCACCACCAGCAGCGCCACCAGCAGCAGCAGCAGCAGCAGCAGCAGCAGCAGCAGCAGCAGCAGCAGCAGCAGCAGCAGGAGCAGGAGCAGGAGCAGGAGCAGGAGCAGGAGCAGGAGCAGGAGCAGCAGCAGCAGCAGCAGCAGCAGCAGCAGGAGGAGGAACAGCAGCAGCAGCAGGAGGAACAGCAGGAAGCAGCAGCAGGAAACAGCAGCAGCAACAGCAGCAGAAACAGCAGCAGGAAACAGCAGCAGGGACAGCAGCAGGAACAGCAACAGGAACAGCAGCAGGAACAGCAGCAGGAGCAGCAACAGCAACAGGAACAGGAGCAGCAACAGCAACAGCAACAGCAACAGGAGCAGCAACAGCAACAGCAACAGCAACAGCAACAGCAACAGCAACAGCAACAACAACAACAACAACAACAACAACAACAACAACAACAACAACAACAACAACAACAACAACAACAACAACAACAACACCAGTAGTAACAACAGTAGCAGCAACAGTAGCAACAACTGTAGCAACAACTGTAGCAACAATAGTAGCAACAACAGTAGCAACAACAGTAGCAGCAACAGTAGCAGCAACAGTAGCAACAGCGAGCCTAAGCTCTCGAGCCCACACATTTTAGGACCCTAAGTCCTCCTCTCTGCAGTCGATGTCTTCGGACTCTTCATTTGGTTCTGACGACCTCTTCGTCACCAAGGCTTGCAGTCGCCGTTGCGGTTCAGGGCCTGGCAACATAGGGGTGAGGGTACCTTCTCAAAACCAAGGTTGTCCCCTTCTCATCCCTGCAGAACAAAAAGACCTACCCCAAATACCCTTTCTACTGATTGAACGCTGCCATTTTCAGCAAGAAGTATCTGGGTTCAACCCCGGATGTTTACGGCGTCGGAGTCCTGAAGGGGGACGCTTTTGCGTAGAAACCCTAACCCTAGCCCCGTAGCTTGCTTCAGAACTTCCCCCATCCCCCTCCCCAATGCCTCAGAAGTGCAGCGCCCAAGGCTTGGCAAGGAAGGCTTCAGGGTTCAAGGGTTTAGGGTTTAGGTGGTTTGTATGGCCCATGGTACCGGTCTAGTTGCAGATCAGACGGCTTCGGGGCTCTGTGGCAGAAGAAGCAGTGTAAGTAGTGAAGATGTTCGTGAAGGTTGTAGTTGTAGTGTAGGCTTTGGCCCTGAAGACAACGCTTCGGCATGTGATGTCGGGAAGATTGGAACCCCAAAAGGAATAATAACATCACACGCCGCCTGAGAGAAGGTTGGTTCCAACTACAGCGACGAGGCGGACAAGGCCATGGTTCAGCTCCCCGCAGTCTGTCGCTAAGGGCCTGGCAAGAAGGCCCCCTAAGTATCCTGAACTCTCAGCCCTCCAGGCCCTTATAACTTATAACCCAACCTAACTTATAAGTTAACCTATGCTCAAAGCAATAAATCACAAGCTTCCAGACTTCGAGCCCCAATCCCGACATGTCTCTACATGCCTTCTGCATCGAAGCCCCGCGTGCTATCATCCGGGACACTGGACCCTGAAGACCCTGCAAGTCCTAAGCCCCTAAGCCCTTTTCACCTGGCCCTGCCTGACCCAAATCCAGGTATCCAGGCTGCCAGTCCTTCGAAATGCCCTGAAGTCTGGACACCGCAGGGCCGGCATCCCCAAGCACTTTTTTTTTTGGTTTTTGGAACTTCCGAGGTTTGCAGGGCTGAAGTGGCTTTGGGGCATCTCTTCTCTGGAGACTCGAGGCCCCAACACCGTCAATGCTTCCTTCTGATGCTGGAGAGAACCCGGAATATCTTGGGAGTCCATTCTGCAATCCACGCCTGCCACCTTGACTCCATTGACGTAATTAAGACACACCCCCGGGCAAGCTCACACAAACAACGCTCCCGAAGCAACAGTCCACGGATTCAGAGAAGAGCTGCGGACGTAACAACGACTTGAGTTGCAATTTGCAGCTCCACTGATGGATAATATCAAGTCTACCCATTTAGAACCCCAGAACGGCGGCGAAGTAAACACCTTCATGCCTGGCCGAGATCTGGACCGAGACGGGGCTCCGCGTCCCAGATAAAGACATGCTCAAGGCACAGTGCTGTGGGATTCACTTTTGGTTCGAGTGACAGGGGTTGCACGTAGCAGCACGCCGTATGGGACTGCGCGTAAAGCCATGGTAGTCTACTGTAGGCGTATGAGGCCAGTGCTTATGTAACACACCTTACTTCCTTGCCGCTATGAGCTGTCTGCATCTGAACCAAGCAGCCTTTTGCAAGTCCATACTCATGTCGCAGGCGCTCCGAAGCCCTCAAACAGAGGTTCAAGCTTGAATCCGAGATGGCTCCACTGCTTCGTGTTTGGCTAGGTTAGGACAGGTGCTGTGCGCAGACGCTGCACACACCCACAGACATGGACATGCCAAGTTTCGTACACATGCAGAAGGAGGTGCGTCCGATTGGGTTTCCTTAAAACCGGCGCGGAGGAAAGTATGAAAGTATTGGGGCGTTGCGCATCTGTGCTCCGCAGGCTGCAGAGTGAAGCAGCAGAGCTGGTGCACCGGTGTACCGGATTGATTCGGTTGCGCCTTCGAACCCTTAGGGTCCGTTTACCCTGTGCTGTTTAGCTTCAAGCGACTGCCGGTTGAAGTTCATAAACCTTTAAGAAGGTGGAGGTAACTGGACCCTCAAGGACCATCACCCGGCGACCCCTGAGTGCGGGACGCCCAGATGCTCCCCAGAACTGGGCGGCGTCGCGCGGCGTCTCACTCAGATGTCACCGACTCGCTCGCAATGAAAGAAGCTTTCAGTTGCCAAGCATCTCCCTCTCTCTCTCTGTGCAATATGTGCATGTATGTAGTTACCCCAGCATATTCCATTTGGGTAGCCACTATGCAAGCCCTCACGGCACCTGGGGCATGCATCCGTTTAGTGTGACGGCCTCTTCTGAGATTTTGTTTGCTGCAAATCACGGAAACAAACGAGAGCAAACTTCTTTCCAGCTCGAGCTTCCGAAGAATGACGGACGGGAGGGTTGTTACAAGAGCAGGTTGCCATCAACAGGATAGGATGCAAGGCCTTGATGACATGTGACACGCATATGTATACAGAATAACTGTATGTCTATGTCTATATAGCACCAGGAGCTCCAAGCAACCATGGATGCCTTAACTGTTTCATGACTCATGCTGCTGCCATGCTGCCGCCAAGGCTTCGCGCTTGCTGATCTGTAGAGCGCAGTTGGGCGACTGAGTGCAGCACGCATGAGAGACCTGTCGTTGAGCATTTTGGGCTCCACTAACACAGTGGATGGTCGCGCCTCGGCAGCAACTTTGCTAATGAGGTTATGTGCAAAGCAGCCACTTCGAGTTTCAAGCCATCAGCACTCGCACACGCAACCTTGGTGATGCAATCTACAAGAAGCTAATGTAATGTCACCTAGTGATACTTCATCTAAGCTCTTGAACAAAGGAGCCCAGATGCCACCAAGAATGCTCAGAAGTGGATGGCTGAGGTGTGCCTGAATTGCGGCAAGCGGCCCGAGTTTCGATGCGCAGGCTGCGGCGTGGCAAGGTTCTGCTGCCAGGTGGGATGACGCAGCCATCGGGTTTCCTGTCCTGGGTTTGCCTTACCCTGTGCAGCTCCAGAACTTGAAGCCTCTTGCCGGGTTTAGTGCGAGTGGCTTTCAATGGCAAGCATCGCCTCAGATCGGCACAGCAAAAGCTTAAGCTTCAGCACTCTTCCGAGATTATCGACATCTCAAGACATGTCTGCATGGCTTGTCAGGCTTGTCAGCGTTCAGCTTGGAAGGGACATCGGCCCCACTGTGCCTTGGCTGCCGAACGACCTGCTGCCCCGGGATGAGAAGAAATTCTCCTGGCGATGTTGGGGTTTAGGCGCCCAGACAGCTTAGGATTTAGTGTTCCTCAAATCCCCTGGCTGCATCAGGTCTTCAGTCTACAGATTCTACAGACGTTCCTGATCAGAACCTTGAGCCAGCATCCTGCACCTCAAGTTCCTAGCTGAGGCGGAATCGTGCCCGATGTTACTGCAGAGGGCTTGGCTGCACAGGTGCCCGAGGCGCGAAAGTCACCATGGGACATAGTGGGACCTTGCTAGACTACTGGATTCTCCGGAGGGCATTCTGTTGGGGCGTGGGGTGCAGGTCCACTTCTGTCAGAAGTTAACCACGCACTTCAGGAAGTAGCCTTGATTTGATCATTTTCGGTGTCTTCCGACCATTCTGCAGCAAGGGTGTCAAATGGAGCTCTCAACGGCCGAGAAAGGCTTGTCTTTGTCGCCACCGAAACCAGGTTTTGCTTGACAGTCAACACCACTTAACACCACCAGGTCTTGCGGGGCTTTTTAGGGTCTTCGGGCTCAGGCTCTCGAGTCCGGGGCCTTAGGGTTTAGGGTCTTGTGCGGTACCTTCATCCCGTACCTCCAGGCCTTCGCATCAGCCTGGCCAGAAGAGGAGAGTTGGTTCTATCAGTCCTGTTGGTGAAACTCAGGGCTTTGAGCTGGTTCCCTTGACAGGCTGTCGCCCACATCAGTAGGATGCCATGTAGGACCTTAGGAGCTTGTGGCTTGTTTGTGCCGAGTCGTTTTGCCTAAGCAGTTGGTGAGAAAGGCTGTCGATTCTGCAAATGTTCAGCCAGCGGAGCCGAATCTCGAAAATCTTGCCGAACAGACACAGGAACGATAGTTGCAGACAAGAGGCAGTATGCATCTGCTGCGAAGCGCGAATGCTGCACATGTAATATACAAAAGTTACGACAGTATCAGCAGGGGCCTTCAGATCACGAGCATGCTGGCTTTGACGAGCCTATATCTGCAGGAGCAGCGGAGGGACGCGACGCTTCTGGCAAAGCTGCTCCGAGCGCTCGGGGTCTGCGAGGATGTGGCATGAGCATGACACTGATGTGCAAGTCCCGAGTGAACGCTGAAGGCCCCACCAAGCCCTTAGATCCTGAAGTGTAACTAAAAGACAAGGTTCCCCAGATGTGGCTTAGAGCTTAGGGACTGAGCATGGAAGGCCGGGAAGAACAGTCATCGCAGGCTTGTGTTATCCTGTATTTAGCGGGTTGTTGCCAGTTGCTTGTGTGGCTCGCAGTGATGCATAGTCTCTGGCTTCTTTCCAGGATGGGAGCATCGTTGGACAACGGCCTTTGCACGAAAGTGAGGCCCGTCAGCTACTGCATGTGAGACTCTTTTTCTTCTGTGGTACCTCTTTTTGGGTTGCCTGCTATAGTGCAGCTTGTATCCAGGGTACTCACCACGTGGTCTGCAGGAGACGGGCAGCTGCTGACATGTCATGACCCTGAGGCTCTTGTTTTGCAACGGGTCTTCGCGCCAAATCCAAGACAAACGACACAAATCTCCAAGCTCCCAAGCCCGACAGTTGTGGGAGCACGTGACCAAAGCTCGCCGTGGCCTTGCGACGTTGCTCTTCGGGCGGAACTGCTGCTGGGTTGAGCCGAGCGGCAGCTTGTGGTTGAGGCTTTAGCATAAGGGTTTACGACTGAGGACTTGCGATTCATGAGAAGACAAGATCCAGGTGTATTCTGGTCCAGGGCCTGGTTGAAGGTTCCTGGGTGCTTACATCATAAGTAGAAGTAACCAAACAAGGTTAACAGTTAGAACCGGTTCGGCTCCCCTTCTTAAACAACGGTCCCAGTTATGACGACCTCCTAGGCTTTCGCACCTCACTGCTGCCAGTGGCGCGCGCGCTCACCGCCACGGGGCAGTGGCCGCTGCTGTTGAGTGCCAGGCGCCCAAGCCTGAGACCTAAAGCCCTAAAGCCGACAAAATCCCTCATCCCATACAAGGGGCCCTGTCAGAACAGGGGCACATCAATATGCCCTCAGTCAAGACCCTGAGCCCGCCCCTCCTTCTGAAACCCAACCCCGAATGGGTGTTTCCCAAACTTAGTTTTTCACATTTTTGTTTTTTTTTTTTGGGGGGGGGGGGGGGGGGAGGGTTTTAGGAAAGACCCAGATTCCCCCTGAAGCCCTAAACCCAAGACCCTTTTGCCTAAGTTAAGGGCTAATCTAAGGGTTGCTTGGTGTATATGGGCTTTACCCCTAAGCTCCCAAACCCTTTGTTCAATCATCCAAGCAAATCTTATGAAGTGCTGAATTTTGAGCGGTCCTCTTGAGGCTTCTGTGTTTCTAGTGTTTATGTGAATTCGGCGTGTGATATTTTGGGTTGTGGAAGTGGTGGTGTGCTGGCAGTGAGAGTTCAGGCGAATTGGGATTAGTTGAACAGCCAGAAGTCATCATGCACGTGGTGCTTGCAGAAGGGGAGGCTGCAGGATACGCGCCCCTACTTTTGACTTGTGAGTACAGTGTCGACCCTTTGCGATTCAGCTCAGGACCCAGTAACTTCAGTAGGGCTCAGGGTCTGGCTTGGGCTGAGGTTTGAGGGTTTAGGGTTTGAGCCTGCTCCCCTTGAGGCCACAAGGGCACGTGACAGAGCTCCCCACGCTGGACTGGGCACCTAGAGTCCTAGAGCCTGGCGCTGGTTGACTTTGCATTCATTCTGCCCCCGCTGCCACCAACTGTGGGGGGGGGGGGGGCAATTCTGTAGGGATTACAAGGGGGACAACATTGGCAATTGTTTATGATGCGGAAGCCTTGTCGAAGCAATGCGAAGCTTTCAGAAGCCCTCACGCAACGTGCGCTCCCGCTGCGACACGTTCGGCAGCAGGGCCATGGGCAAGTCAGGAGTCGATACAAGTACCAGCATTACTCCCGCAAAATCCCTATGCCCTAGGCCCTACAATCCCCATAGAGTATGTCTAAACCACCCCAAAAGAGAGGCCCCTGTGTTGACAGAGCTTTCTCTGGGCCTGAGCCGGAGGAGCTCTGCGCCACCTTGGCGTGGCGCGTGCTGGGCGCGGCACGGCGCCTGCGTGCCAAGGAAGGTGTTTCTGCACACTTGCCGTGTGTCACAGATACTGTGTTTGCGCTTGTGCGTTGGTGCTGTTTTGGCATTTATGGGCCTTAACTTCAAGCTCTGGCTGAGGCTTTAGTTCACGGTGCTTGGTCAGAGGGGAGGGTTTCGGTTTAGTTTTTGTACAGGTACGGGTGTGGGAAATGTGTGCATGGAGCCCATGGTGCTTTTGGGAAGAGGCAGTGTAGCTCCTACTGGAGATCTCTGGGCTTCTACCTCGGCATGTCAATGTGGCCATAAGGTCAAAGTCTCCGGATCATCTTCCGATACAGACATTGCACATTCCGTGACTCCATTGGGCGTAAAATGATCACCAACGCTATTTTTCTTAATTTCAGTCGAGGCGGTCCAAGGAGAAGGGCCGAGTTCGTTCCCACGGCACGAGTTGAGAACCGTTGTAGTGCCGGAAGGCCCAGGAAGCCTGGGAAGTCCAAGTGTGCCGGTACGTATTAAACATATGTTTGAGAGATGACTCAAAGTCGGATCTCCAGTTGCGAGTGCCTTGTGTGTCCAGCAGAGCATCCCAAGCTTTCGTCCAGGGTCATCCACGCTTGATTTTCCTCGGCATCGGCTCAGGCGCTTGAAGGGTTTTGCGTGGCTGATGTACCCTCGAACATTGCAGCCAAGCGGCGCGCTACATTAATGCAAGACATGATTATCAAGGGGCTGTGACAATATATTAATGTTGATGGGCCGCACAACTTGCGCAAATAAATTAGGTTCTCCGAATGTTGATCCTCTTTTTGAGGGGTACCCCAAATATGAGCAAATTCAAGGGGGCCGGATTATGAGGGACCACAATTTCGACAACCACCCGCCCAACGCTCTGCACCGTGTAGCACATGGTACCCCCAGTGGTTTCTTTGCCCCCTTGTAACCCCATTAGGCAAAGTAGGCTCTTGTTTCAACTCCAAACCCCCTAGCCCCTAAATCCCTGAACCCCGAAACCCCTAAACCCTTAAACCCTTCAACCCCTATACCCATATAAACCCCAAACCCTAGGCAGCACCCTTAAATCCCTATACCCTTGTTAGCCCTACACCCGTATAAACCCTAAACCCACTGGAAAACCTGCAGGTGACGCCCTGGTCGAGGCCTCTCTGGTCCTTCATCTGGCGGTTCCCTATCAGCAAAGTGTTTCGGGGTTCTTTGCTAGCAAAAACAGTTTACATGGGGTTTAGGGGTTTCGGGTTCATTTTAGGGTTTACCCGGGTTCAGTCTGAAGCCATCATCGACATACCGGGGACAAAGATCTTCATCAGATCGGCTGCATCACGAATCTCAGGCTGTGCTTGGCGTCACACCCGACATAGAGAAGGCAGGGTTTCGGGTTAATCGTGGAGATGGCTCTGAGACTGGAGTCCTATCCTTAGCTACGATCCTCCCTGAAGATCGTACAGTGATCCCGCGTGCGAGAGCAACCTTGCAGAGCCTGAGAACCCAACACCTGAACCCTGGAAAAGCGCTGTGAAAGAACATGTGTCCGCCCAGGGGTCCCCGCTGAGCTTGCCTTGGGACGACTTCGAGATCACGGCCAGGATTTTCAGAGGGTTTTGCGCTTAGGGCATAGGTTGTAGGGAGCTTTGACCTCCACACATTGTGAGTTGCAGACGACAGGTCGTCACCACTGACAGCGCCAATGATGAGGCAAGTTGCACGTCATGATGCCAGCAAGTTTCATGTTTTAGACGTCTGCGAGCAAAGTGCAATCAGTGTGTCGTTCTGCACCAGGACCTCCGCCAGAACCGCATTGCTGAGGCCAGGCCACGCAATGGGCACGTGGGGAAGCCCCAAAGCCCTACAAAGCCCAAACCGTTATCAACCCTCAGGGCTCCAACAACCTGGGCTTTGTGGGGCGTAAGGTCCTAAACCTGAAACCCCAAGAACCCCAAAAGCCCTCAAAGAACCCTCAGCCCACCAACAGAAACACCAGCCCAAAAGCTCTCAAAAGCCCCTAATAAACGCCCCTATCAGAAGCCAACAAGCCGAGGCGCCCTCGGAGCTGCGGCCACTGCGACTCGACCGCCGCGCCGCGGTGCGGCGCTTCGCGGCGGAGGCGCCGCTCTTCGCCCCGCGGCCCTAAGGGTTTTTGAGTTCTTATACAGAATGAATATGCTGCATGGCAGGGCATCGTAGGGCATGATAGGGCCTTTGGGAGCTTAGGGGTTTTGCGGTTTAGGGTTTAGGGTTCAGTTTAGGGGTGGGGCTTAAGGCTTGGGGGTGCTTAGGGCTCTTGGCGTACGGGCCGGGGGTCCTTCTACAGGATGTTCCTTGGTTTAGAAGTATTGGTCTCTCCGAGCACGGGTGTCTTTAAAAGTTTCGGGGCACAGGATTTTGTTCGGCCAGGACCTGCAAGGGTCCTGGGTTCAAGCACCGAGACTCACAAGGGTGGCCATGTGCCAACCAGGTTGCTTAGAGACCCCAAACCCCGAAGCCTCAACTCGAAATCCTAAACCCTAAGCCCTAAACCCTAAACCCTAAACTCTAAACCCTAAACCCCCTTAATGCTGTAGCCCAACATCTGAGGTCTTCAGCTCCTGGATGCCGATGCATGCCTGCTGGTGCTCTGATGTCGTCGAAGATGCCGGTAATCGCTTGGTGGAGCGCCTTGTTGCGGGACTGGGGGGTTGGTATCGTTTCTTTGTTTTAACCTTTACTACATGTGCTACGATTCTTCGTATCAGTACGGCTAGTACGAGCATCAGGCTTGTTGCGGTATGATTGCTTTGAGTACTTTGGCTATGTTTCTTCAACGCTATATGTCTGTTACCAGCATAGTCAGTACTATCATCACTTTTACTATTGTCAGCTATTGCTAAGATGGCTGCACTTTTTATTGCTAGGGAGTTCGCGTGGGTTGAGGACCCAGGAAGCGTCAGCAAGGATGTAGATGGTGTCTGTAAAGGCTCCAACCATCATGAGCCCCACTTGCCAACATGGAACTCGTAAGCAACACGAGGTGTCAGCGCTAATTCGACCCCGAAATCCAGGCAGAACCCTCAGCCAAAAGCCCTCAAACCCCGAAGCTCCAAACACCCCCCCCCCCCCCCTCCTTCCCGCCCTGCGCCCCACCGAAAAGATTGATATTTCATTGTGCCAAACCCCCCCCCCCCCCCCCCCCCCCCCCCCCCAAAAAAAAAAAAAAAGTACAAAACGATAAAAATCAAGGCTCCTAAGCCCCAAAAGACCTTCAAGCCCTTAAACTCCCGAAGAAGCCAAGGATGTGCTTCCTGACCTCGCCACCCGAGCTCATCCAGGTACCCCGTCAGGCGGGGACACGGAGGGCTCAGGCGTAAGTTTGGGTTTTGGGGGTCTGAAGCCCCATTAAAGCTCTCAGCCGACCTTGTAGACCCGCTGCCTTTCACCTCAAGCCCCAAACTGGCCCTAAGCCCTAAGCCTCACCCTGACCCCACCCTGCAGCTGGCGAAGAGCCCCACATCCCAAGCCCCAAACCCAAAATCAAAAACAACCGCCGCCAGGAAGTCCTGCGCCCTGCCACAGCGCAGCTGCGTGCCACGCAGGCAACAGACGTCCAAGCAAGGGGTTCAGGTGGCCCAAGCCTTCCGGGCCCACCAGGTTCCCGCGTGTTCGAGGTTAATGTTGCACTGTTAGCACATTGTTGCACGCTCGTGGTCTGGAACGCGCGGGCTAGGAATGACCGACCAAGGGTGTGTCTTACATCCCTGGTGCACTACCTGGTGCAGCATTGCTCTGCATGGCTGTGTTGCTAAAACTATAGTCGAGATAGTCGAGCAATTGAATTCCCAAGGTTGCTGTATCTTTCGCATGGGAGACGTCGTCGTAGCTGATCCCGAATCAGGTTTGACTATGGCTGATTGTGTTCTGCGGGTTGGAATGTGCAAAACACCCCGCAGCAGGAGATTCATCCCTTGACGCTGTGCCGCTGGGACTTCTTAGCTGAAGGCGCGAGACTTTAGGATACTTTAAGTCTGAGGGGTAGCGGTTCAGGGTCATAGCTACAAACCCACAACCCTACACCGAACTGAAGTCGGTTTCTAGTCAAGCGCACAAACTAATCAGGGCTGGTGAACACAGTCCTTCCCCTTTTATACCCCCAAAGATATAGAATCCCCTTGAGCCCCCCCAAAAAGGGTACCGCTAATTTTGGCAACGCCCCCCCTATGAACTCCCCTGCAGCCTTTCTGCAACCTGAGCCAGGCTTCGAGGAGTCGGCACCGGAGGTTGACCACGACCAGTGTGCCATGTTCATGGATTCGGAAGAAAAGGTTCGGGCTTCGGCGGTTTCGGGCTTGGAGCAGATTTGGCTCAAGACCTCTCGGGGCTGGTGGGTGAAGTTACTGCAGATGAGGTTACCAGTTGAGTTGGCTCTATCATCTGATCGCCATCCTGCCAGACACCCATCCCGAAACAAAGCGAGTTCTGAACCTTACTGACTCGCTCAACATGATGCTGTCCCCTCAGCCCCAAACCCAATAGAACCTAAGCCCGAACCCCCAGAAACCCAAACTCTAAACCGCAAAGGCAACCCGGGGCTTTTCCACAGCCAGCTCTACGTCACCAGCCCCCGAGTTGCATTCAGCCTCAAAGCAGTCGCGAGCAAGCGGAAAGCTCCAAAATGACTTTTCCGGCCTTGAAAATTCCCCCCACCCCCCCCTCCCACCACCCCCCGACCTACGAGTCTTTGAGGTTCCAGGGAGGTGCCTCCCCTGCCGATGCCACGCGCGCTGCTCCATGGACGGGGCTGTGGCCTGGACGAGCAAGTGCCAATACCAGATCTCAATACAGTCTCTGTATATGTATGTATTTTCTATATATATATATATATATATATATACATATTTATTTGTTTAGATTATCTATATATGTATACATATATACATATATATATATATATATGTGTGTACATATATACTTGTTTATGTGTTTATATTAGTGTACTAGTTATTGCTATAAGAATTACCCTTACAATTAATATGATTATGGATATTCAAGAGTATTGTTACAAAAACAGCAGCGCCCCACGGTGGACCCATCTGAGCACCTCTCAGAGGCTACCACAAGAGGATGGCCGCCGACTTGCGGCTGGCAGCCGTCAACGTTTGCCGCGGGGTGGGTCTGAATCACATCCGTGGCTCCAAGGCACTGCAGCGGAGCGTCAGAAGCCCTCGAGCCACATGCCAGTTCCTCCCTACAACACCCCAAGCTCCAAAATAGAAACCGCAAAAGCCCTGAACGACCCGAAGACCCTTTAAAGACTCATAACTCTCCCCCCAAAGGCACCTAAAAGCCCAGAAGCCCCCACATCAAACGCCCGTCGCTCCTAAACTTGGATGCTCAATGGACGGGCAGAGGACCTCTGCTCCCCCATACCCGGCCCGGAGCTGCTGAGCCTTCGGCAGGCACGGGCTCAAGGATGGTGTAGGGGATTTAGGATAATGCCGGGCTTAGGCTGTGCCTGCAGTAGCTTGTAACTGTATGCACCCCCTTAGAAAGGGGGGATTTCCAGAATGACTGGTTATGGCTTTACATAACCTTGAGCGGAACATGTTAAAAGGTAATGTATTGTAAGAATACTGTATGGAAAGCAAATATGAATGATCTATGATGATACAACTTTTTCTGCACCATCGAATACAAGTTTGTGTAGCATACAAAACGCGCTACGTAGAAACAAAATCATGGTTGTGCGCTGAGAGTTCCCCCCCCCCCCCCCCCCCCCCCCCCCCCCCCCCCCCCAACCCCACCCCAACCCCAACTAGACCGGAAACCTAAGCCCCACCTACAACCAAAACCTTCAACCCGCAACCCAACAACCCTGAACCCGAAAAGCCGTAAGGTCTAAAACCTAAAACAACCCAACGCCCTAAATCCAACCAACCCACAGCCACATCACGCAAGCCGGGGCACAACCACATACATATACATATACGTATACATATACATATACATTTCCATGTACATTTACACATAATTACGTATTTATGTATACACACATTTGGTTTGCGAGTTGTCTAGGCTGGTTCTGGGGCTGTGGGGCATGGTTCAGGTGATAACGGGGTTGAAGCCGTCATCTCCGAGTGCGCATACATCTATGTACATATAGCACAGTAGAGTACAATACACTACAGTAGAAGCGTACAGAACATGCTACTGTATGGCATAGTATACTATCAGATGATTTGTTTCTGTCACATGTATGTTACAACGGTGCTGACATCTAGTCTCGACTGTCAATGGGGCCCCATGCTGGCATCTTGGCTTCGTACACTCCGGAAGACGTTGCCCACGCACGCTGCACTGTCAGGCGCTGGCGGAATCGCCAAGCACAGCCGTGCCCCGTCGGAAAAGACCAGCAGCTACAACAGCTGCAGATAATTGCAGATACCATCTGTCTCTCACTTCACTGCAAGTTCTAAACAACCTAGAATACAGCATTCAGAAAATAACCGTTAAAGAACACAATATATATATATATGCATTTGAGGTTAGTTTTATGTTAAGATTACTGTTCCGGCTGCTGCTACTATTGCTTTGATGCGTAAACAGTTATATACTAGCATATACTTTGTGTGTAACCGTCTATGAGCAGGCCTTTGCCAAGGCCAGCCTTGTGCATCAGGCCTTCATCGCCCGGTCCCTGGAGTTCCTGAAAGGCGTCGCAAAGAAGCAGGTGGAGCATGCCCTGGCTCCCTGGAAGCCCTGGAAAGGGAAATTTAGTTTTTTGTTGGTGCATTGGCATTGGGGGTTTTGAGGCGTTTCTGCGTTCAGGTTTTGGCTATCGAGGAATCGATGTCTGGCACACCATGGCCCACGCCGCGAAACCTTCATAAAGCTTTAGACTCGAAACCTTACAAGCATAGGGCTAACACCAAAGTTTCAACTCTAAACCCTAGTCCCTGGTTTGCTGCACCTGTACCCTAGCCCTGCTGCCCTGCACCATCCAAGGCCGAAGCTGGCTATCGAACCTGACTGGCAGGAAAAAGAGGCGACGCGAGACACTGGGGCTCCTTTCGGAAGTCCTCGTTGCACTTGATCCAGCTCTGTATCGCGCATTTTTGAACAACAGACGATGGGTTGCCTTTCAGCCCAAGCTGGGCACAGGGTGTAGAGACATGGCCTTCTTGAGCGCACACATGAAAGTTGAAACGGATGTTGCCGTTGCAGCCGATGGGCCAACATACTTGATGTTTAGGCAGGGCATGTCTAACAGCGGTAGCGCAGCAGGACCAGCGAGCGCGGGGTTGAGGGGCATGCTGCGAACATCGTAAGCCTGATACACCAAACAAGCCCTACAAGCCCTGGGTGCTGGTGGTATAGAGTTTAAAAGAGGCCAGCCTGCCAGCTCGTTCCTTTCCAGCCGGCCCAAGCCGGCATCAGCCTGCCGAAGCCGATTCAATCACTAGATTCATGGGTTTCGGGTTTTCGGATTTAGGATTGAGTAGTCAAGGGTCGTAGTGGTTAAGGCTTCGGATGTACGGATCGGCTTAGGGTAGAGGGGCGGAGTACGGTGTCGAAGGAAGCTGCAGACCATGATGTGCACAACTTGAAGGAACCCTTCAGCACACCTCCACGCACAGAGCAACAAGCGTTCCAGAACTCGCCCGGGAGGTTTAAGGTTTTAGGGTTCAGGGTTAAGGGTTTAGGGTTTTAGGGTTTTAGGGTTTAAGGTTTCGGGTAGTGCCACAAAGAGGGCAGCTTGGCCGCTTCACGCCGCGGAAGATGTCCGTGCAGCATGTATCGCATCCTGCCTTGCAGTCAGACCTTGTCAGCTTGTCCATCTCTTTACCTAAGATCCCAGATTCCTGGGACTATCTAGAAACTAGAACTCCCAATGCGTGCTCTGTGCTACTATCAGGCCATTTCTGGGTACCCTTAGGCCCTGGGCGCGATCGGATCCTGAATCCCTTAGGCCCAATGCCATCGCGGTTTATGGGCACTACTACACTACCCATGAAGATGCTCAAGCCCTAGCCCCCCCAAAACCTGGCAGTGGGTTGGGGGCATGGAGGTACCAGCAAGTACCCGGCGAACCTCGCCGCTCTCGCCAGCAGTTTCTGACCGAGGACCTCGAATGAAGGTGGAGTTCTTCCCATACCCTCAACCCAATGGTTCTGAACCCTGAAAACCCAAGCAGGAACCCAGTCATAGGCTTGGGCTCGAGTAGGACCAGAGTTGTGTTTGATAAGTCCCGGCTACGAAGGGCAAGACTCGGTTTTGGGGGTGTTTACGTTCAGGCAGCCATGGGTTTAGATTTTAAGGCTTTGTAGGGCTGGAGGGTTGAGAGGCGCAGCCCCCAGCATGTGCCTTCTAACTTGCAACTATCCAAACAAAAATGCACATGCGTACATACAGAACTACAACAGCTTGGATTCAGCAAGTTCACAGCCCGGAGGAGTCCGCCGTGACGATCCCAGAGCAGGACGCAGCATCACGTTCTTTGTTGAGACGCTGATGATACAATGATAGTGTATGATAGTGTATGTATAGTATGTGAAAAGTTATGTGTAACGTATTTGAAGATGAACTGAAACAGCGCTACATGAACCCAAACCCCTAAAAACGATGTCTCTGGATGGCAGTATGTAATGTTTTTAGGTCTCTCTCTACTGAATGGCACACGTTCGTTCCAATACGCAATTGCCCCATCCCCCCCCCCCCCCCCCCCGACACTTCCTGTCCAACGACTGCCAACACACGAGACAACCAACCGCCAGTGAAGTTCCCAACGCCAAGAAACATGCCATGATGCAGGAAGTGGTTCCAGCGACGGTGCAGACCTCGACGTGCAGAACATGTTTTATGCTTTACGAAGTGCTGGTACAGGTGCACTTCAACCCTTAAGGCCGCTTAATCCCAGTGGAGGGGCGGCAAAATACAACATGTCTTGAAGAGTCTCTAGAGGGCATAGGCTCCCGAATGCCACCCACCCTGCTTGGGCTGGAACAAGTTGGCTCAGGCCTTGCTTAGGATCCTTCTTTCCGGGCACCCGTGCGTGCGCAGTGCTGCTGATGTGCCAGTCAGTATGGACGCCAATAAAAGATGACACCTTACTTTGTAATCATGACATGATGACAGGACCGTCACTTCAGAACCCCTATAGCCACTCTCACAAGCTTAAGCTCTGTGCTGCAGTTTTTTGACTGCCAATACCTTCTCTAATTGCCCAAGAATCCCAAACCCTGAAGCCCAACACCCCAGGACCCCGACCCGAAAGCCCTGCAGCCTTGCGCCCAGTGCAAAGAACGCGTCCGGGATCTTATGGAGAACCCAGACTCTGGTGCTGTTGCGCAGGTGCCCAGGGTAACAGGGCTCATGGCGTGAGGCGTGAGGGCTTAGGGTTTAGGGGGATGGCTCAGGTTCAGGGGTTTCAGGGCTTTAGGGTTTTGATTTAGGGGTTTAGGGAGGTTCTGGCACAAGACAGCGTGGATCGTCCCTTTCTTCACCTGCGCCGCTTCGCTCGTTAGATGCAGGTGTTCCATTATTTCATCATGCTGGTGATTTTGGTGGCGGCCTCATGAAGGTCTCATTTGAAAAAGGGCTTGGGGTTTCGGCTGGGGGTGTAAGGACCTCAAGAATCCAAGATTACATTGAGCATCTTCTTCGTTTGCGGATGCAGCAGTACCCGACTGGCATAACACAAAGCCGCTGGAACTACAGCGAGAGATCCGCAAAACGAACTTCGCGTGCATCTGTTTTACGGCATCGGTGCCGCATTTGAAGATCCCAACATCTCAGGTCAGCACCTTCTGTGTCATCATCGAGACCGTCCCTGGCTCGACAGAATGCCCTAACTCGAAACCCTGAAACCTGAACCCTATAAGGCTCTAAGGGGTGGTTCCGCTCCAGGGGCATCAGAATCACACCGAGGTGTCGCAACAGTAACAGAGCAATGGCCCTGCGCTCCCGATCCCTAAAGCGGTTAGGGCTCGCGGTGGGTGTTGGCCGCGGTTGTAGCACCCGGAGTGTTGTGAACTTCATCTTGAAAGGACCAGTCCAGGCCTTGATGCGACTCACATGTAGCAGGACCAGCTGCCACAGAAGCAGTGAAAACCTGGTGACGCTGCACCACGGAGGTCCCGGAAGTGTCGGGAAGCCCCGTCTTTCTGCCTGCCGAGGCCTCGTCAATGCAGGATACCGGACTGTCGGATGTGTTGTAGGTCCATTCATTGTAGGTGTCTTCGGATCAAGCAGCCGGGCTCAGTATTGCACAGCTTGGCGGCTAAAATCATGGCTGCAACCTTTGCGCACTTGCTTGTACTGCAGCGCGGCTTGAGTAATTTAATGCTGAGTTTTTGGCTAGTTGCAGACCCAGACCCTCAACCTTTATGGACATCCAGTGCAGCAGGATATGGCTAGCTTCGGGATACAAGGTGCATGATGCAATTCTTCGCTGAGAGCTTGACGGGGTGGGAAAAACGCATCAGTCTCGAGCCAGGTTTACAGGAAGCAAACCATGCTGGCAACTTCAAAAGAAGCCTGTTCTGGAACGCTTTCCTGGCTGAGCTTGGCAGAAATGGCCCCTGTCCCTAGCGGCCCTAGCGCCTTGTCGGCAGATGTGCTTCACGGCCCTCTTCACGGCCGAGTTCGCTTTGAGGCTTTACGCCTGCGACAGCATCGCCGAGCGAATGCCCAAGTTTCAGCGAGATGGTGTGGTTTACTCTTCGGAAGCTCGGGCCGGGCAGATTCGGGTAGTTTCTTCCGAAGACCTTGAGAGGCCAATCCCCGAAGACATGCCTGTTGCTCAGATTCGCAACAAATGGTTTCAACATCATCGACTTCCTGGCTGTCTTTCCGGGGTGCTCCCCCGTGTGCACTCGAATGTTGGTATTCCGAAATTCCTATGCTCTTTCTGGGGCGCCGAGACATCAGGTACTTGAGCCTCCTTGGCGTCATGCTCCGCCAGGATGCACACCAAAACCACTCCTTTGCCCACATTGGCCAGGCTCGTTCGAAGTCAGGGTTATCAAGGGTGCTCTTACGGCCGTTGCGGATGTTCGGTTTGGTCAGCTGCGAAAAGCACAAATTGTTTGTTGCCCTCAAAGCGATGGGCAAGAGGGAGATCGGAGACCCGACTTCAGAACCCCTTCCGAACCCCCTTCAATCCACTCAGTTCCATGCTTTCTGGAGCCCTGCAGGCCACCAGATCCATGCGATCCCTGCGCATGGTGCGGGTTGTGCGCATGGCTGGGCGCCGAGCCGCGGCATAGCTCGGTCTAGCACCATATCTGAGAATCTGCGAAGGTCCGCGTCTTCCGCGTGATGCGCGTCTGCAAAGTCGCGCGGCACTCCGAAGCGCTGGCCGTGACCTTTATGGTCTTCCTCAAGGTGCTCTTGTTCAGACTTGGTGACCCCGACCTTTGAAACATGGACCCAGTGACCCCCTCGCTATAGCGCGCAAGGGCCGATATCTTTTGAGTTTCAGGGTTGGCTCAAAGGAGGCTTAAATTATGGGGGTGCCCTTATAAGGTACCTTGTCGATGTCGGGCTCAGGAACACGAGCCCTCGCCCGTCCCCCCCGCCAAAGACAATTGGGGCAATCCCTTGCTACTACCCAAAGTATTGGGTAGAGTTTAAGAGATTTGTTTTTCTACGGGGCATCAAGGAAACCTAAAGAATACCTTAAACCCTAAACCCGCATCAGAGTATCTTCCTTTTTTCTTCCCGCTATCCATTTAGGGTTCCCTCATTGTAGAGTCAGCTCCTCTAATTACAGGACAGGGACCGGCAAAGATGGCCCTTCTCGGGTACCCCATACGCAAGGCCCCGTATGATAATCGGATCAAAACAGTGACCGGAATTGAGAGAACCTCCCATATGTTGGACATTTGTGATCCCACACAGGAACTCCAAGGGGGGTGACGTGACAAGAACTCGGGTGCCGGGTTAGATGGGGCAGAGGTTCAAAGCCAAACGGTACCTGTAACGGACCCTTGCTTCAGGACATGGGCACTTCCCAAAATGGCAGTTCCCCTAGTCTCCCTCCAAAATACTGCAATCCGCCTCTCGGAACCCCCAACAAGGGTCCCTCCACTTTCCGATACCCCCGCGGGTATCCATGTCAATGGACGTCGAATCAGCCGTAGGTCTCCCAGTCCGGCCTGGCCGTCGTGCTGATGCTGATGGGCTTCGCGACGGCCAGACCTCGCCTTCTCTCTCTGCATATCTATCTCTATATATATATATATAATATATATATATATATATAATATATGTATGTATGCACGTGTATGATATGTTCATGTAAATGTATAATATATGCTCATTGCGGCGGGAAGGGGGGGGGGAGGTGTTTAGGGGCCAGGGTTTTGTGGTTAGGGCCCGAAAGGTTGGTGCACAGTTGAGGTGGGGGGGGGGGGCTTGGAGGAAGGAGGCCCCGACATGCGAGGCTTGCCGGGCCATGGGCCATGTACTGTTGGTGGCCGTGTGTAGGAACGGCGCTTGCACTGTGCAGAAACCAGATCTGTGAAGGCGTTGCTTGGTATGTAGGCTTCCAGATGACCGCTTACGCGTCTTGCTCACAGAACGATT